AAACCATCCGGACCAGGAGCACTATCAGGATTCAGATTCCAAACCACTTCCTTAATCTCCTCTCCAGTAGGTACTTTAGTCAACTCCAGGTTGTCAGCCTCTGTAACTCTTACTTCCAAGTACTCCTTGATAGGGTTAAGATTGATAATCTTCTTACTACAGAAAAGCTGGGAGAAATGATCAACTGCTAATTTTTGGATTTCCTCTGATTTGTTGATAGGATCCCCCTTATTATTATCAATGGTTCTGATTGTGGATTTAATTCTCCTGCCTTTAACAAATGAATGAAAAAACTTGGAATTACTGTCACCTCCTTCCATCCAGTTGATATTAGCCTTTTGCTTCCAGAGGTTGATCTCATTTTCAGTAGCCAAAATAAGTTCAGCTTTAGCTTTATTAGCCTCAGTCCTATTGGCATCTGAGGGATCAATCTCAAACCTTTCTTGTGCTGAAGTTGCTTTGAGTTCTGCCTCTTTAATAGTATTCTCCACCCTACCAAAAACATCTTTGTTCCATTCTTTAAGTATAGCCTTGAGCCTTTTGATTTTGTGAGCCAGCCCTGTCATACCCCCAAAACAGGTTTGAGAATTCCAGGAGTCTTTGAGAGTCTGCATGAAGTTAGGGTGATTCATCCAAATATTAAGGAATCTGAATGGTTTGGGCCCATCATAATTATTCTTAATACATTGTAGTAGCACAGGTTTATGGTCTGAGGTGGTACTGTTAATGTGAGTCACAGTAATATCATCATAATTGTCCAACATGACTTCATTGACCACTGCCCTATCAAGTCTTCTAAAGACTCTACCTGTGCTTCTTTTACCTGACCAGGTGAAAATATTACCAATTAAATGAGGATTGGTAAGCTTGCAGGTTTCCAGACATTCTGAGAGATCATCCATGTCAGATTGCAGGGGGGGTATCCTACCCTTATGCTCCGAAAGGTTAGCAATAGTGTTGAAATCCCCCCAACAACCCACTCAGAGTTTGTAGTGTAATTTTCCAAATCTTTCCATAAGGTCTTCCTTTCTCTACTGGTGTGTTTCCCATACACAGAAGTAACGGTAATGTTGTTGTGAGTTGAGAGGTTTTGGAAATGACAGCTTATAAACTGGTCCTTTTCCAAGAAAGAAAGGAGATTAAGAAACTCTGAGTTCTAGAAGACCCAGATTTTGTTGTTGCTAGAGAAGGCCCCCTGAGAAAAACCAAGTTTAATTCTGTAGGAATCATGTTGAGAGAGATCAACCATAGGTTCAATGATGGCTAGAAAATTAGTTCTGTACAAATGTATAAGAGATTTGATCCTTTTGAGAGAGGATCTAACTCCACAAACATTCCAAAAGAGCACAATCATTGAAGACTTTGGAGAGAAAAGTCTTTGTGTCCCTTGAGACTCCTAGTGAAAATTTTTCTGTGAGAATCATACTGTTTTTTCTTCTTTGCCTTTGGGATGGATAATGATGAGGAATCCTTTGATGGGGTTCTGAAGTTAACAGGCTCAATTGAGGAGGTATCCCTGATTTCCTCAAATTCACCATCATCTAAGTGAGTTCCATATTCTCCTGGGTCCAAATCGGAGGTATTAGATGGTCCCACCCCCTTACCAGGTGGGTTAAGACCCAAGTCAGGGTCAATATTGTGTAGGCAGTCATCCAAGGATCCTTTAAAGCTAATAATATTGAGTGGATTTACCTTTGATGAAAAATCAGAGAGAGATAAAGCTGTGGGAGAGAGGGGTATTTGTCTGGTTGTTTTTGCCACATATTCCTTTGCCTCTGAAAGAGTTGGAAAGTAGAAATCATTCTCTTTATAATGCATAGGTGTGGGGACTGACAGCTCTTGTGTTACCAGGTCCAACTGGCTAGAGGATGGTAGTGGGTCCATGGAGTTCTCCTGCATATCCAGTAGATCAAGGATGTGTGGAGTAAAGTAGTTTGTTATTTTATCCTTGAATTGGCCTTCCAGTGGTAAGTGGGTCGTGACTTCTCTATTGTGGTGGCAGTCTGAGCATCATTATTAGATTTGTGTGTCCTTTTCTTTTTGATTTCTATCCAGGACTGAAAATGCTCTGACTGAAGAACCTCTTTTCCCTTGCCGGAGGAGGTCTTTCCGGTGACCTGAACCAAAATCTATATATATATATATATATATATATATATATATATACCATGGCCGGAATATTCCCAAAAATCCCAAATCCAAAACCATTTTCCAAAAGAAAACAGACAAAAATAGCCAGCCACCATGTTCTGATATACCTTCAACAAGTACATTACAATCAACCCAAACCCCACCATCTAGCCTGACACCACATACCCCACACACCCATAATAACAATCAATCATCCTCATACAGTAATCCCATACAAGAAGGGCCAAAACACACACCTGTCAACACAACCTTTATGCCCACACAAAATGCCACCCCCACACACAACCAGGAAACCCCTAACCCAGAACCCACACACAACCAGAAAACCCCTAACCCAGAACCCACTCAGCCCACATCCAGTAACCAACCAATAGCCACAAGCCCAACTCATTACACAACCCCTAACACCACTTCAACAGAAAACCCCCAAATCCAAACAGAAATCCACCCCAACCCCAAAATACCTGAATCCCACACCCCAACTAACACCACAGCTGAACCAACCCCAACAGAAACCAACCATACCAGATCCCTCACAACCTCACCTTCAGAAAGTGAACTCTTACAAGCAATCATGCTGGATATCTCAAACATCTGCAAAACATCATCAGAAATCATGCCCTCAAAAGATGACTCATACATTCAGAAATCAACTTTAAAATTCAATGTGAATTATATAAGTGATTCTGAAACACATATACCTGAAGGTCCAGAAAGTCCCTCTTCTCCAACCATAAACCAGGAACAAAATGCCCCTGAAAATGAAGGATTCACAATTTTCAACACAAGGAAATCCAAAAGACTCCTTGAAAAATCCAAATCAAACAGTTCCTCACAAAACAGTCATCAATGAATTGCCTCTTTTGGAATACCTGTGGGATAACTTCTAAAAAGGAGAGGTTATCCATATTAGTCTCAAAACACAAAATTTCCATCCTCACCATCATTGAACCCAAATCCCATCCTAACAACCTCTCCAAACTTCTTTTTGATCTGGGTTTCTCCAAATCCATCCACAGCTCCAGCAACAGAATTTGGATCATGTGGAAGGAAGAACACCTGACCTACATCAATCACACAGATCAGGGCCAAATTCTCAATGTCCTCTTCCACTGCCAACAAACAAAGATCTTCTTTTCTCAGGAGTCTATGGTAAGCACACCAGAGAGGAAAGAAAAGATCTCTGGGAAGCAATCACCAACTGCAATAAAAACAACCATGCTATCTGGATAATTGGGGGAGACTTTAATGCCATATCCTCCATAGAACATCATAAAGGTAGGAGCACCCCTTGCCTCAACAGTATCCAGGACTTTGATAACTGTATCATGGACAATGGGCTTTATTCCTCCCCCTTTACTGGAAACCTTTATACTTGGACTGGCACTAGATCCCTGGGGAGAATTTTGAAAAGGTTGGATAGAGTTTTCACTAACTCTATCTGCCAAAGGCATTATGATAGCATATCAAGTCAACACCTCTCAAGAGGAAACTCAGATCACCGCCCTATCCTAATTAATATGCACAACCCCCCCTTCAATGGCCCTAAACCTTTCAGGTATCTTAACTGTTGGGCCAACCACCATTCATTCAGGAATATTATCGAAGATAACTGGGGAAACTACAAGGGAGGTGGCATGAAAGGACTTATGGACAAACTATACAAGCTCACACCAATCCTACAATCTTGGAACAAGAACACCTTTGGTAATATTACATCCAAAGTGGAAGATCTAGAGATACAACTCCAAGAAGCAGAAAGCAACTTTGATGAAAATCCCAGCATGGAAAACAGAACTCTCTTACATGAAACTAGAGCTCATATGATACAAGCCACTAAAAATGAATTTCATTACTGGAAACAAAAAGTTGGAATCAAATGGCTCAAAGAGGGAGACTGCAACTCATCTTACTTCCATGCAATCTTGAAAGAAAAAAGGCATTTCCAGACAGTCCAAAGAATAAAAAACAAAGAGGGCAAATGGATTGGTGATAATAAAGACATTCAACAGGAAGCTGTTAACTTCTTCAGTCAACTCTTCTCCTGGGAAAAGAGTGAAGGATATGACCAATTCCTATCAAATATCCCAACAATGGTCAATGCAGATGACAACAAAACCCTCATAAATCTACCCTCCGAGGAAAAAGTCAAGGAAGCCATTTGGAACTTAGATCCAGAAAGTGCAGCAGGACCTGATGGTTTTACAGGAGATTTCTATAGACAATGTTGGGATATTATCAAAGTTGATCCCCAAAAAAGATAATCCTACCACTTTTGAGGACTTCAGGCCCATCTGCTTATCCAATTTTATTGCTAAAATTAACACAAAAATTATAGCAATGAGGCTAGGTAAGCTACTTCCTAATTTAATATCCCCAGAGCAAGGAGGATTCATCAAAGGAAGACAAATTCATGATCAAACCCTAACAGCCCAAGAGCTAATCCATGGCATCAACTACAACACAAGAGGGGGAAACCTAGCTATCAAACTTGACATGTCTAAGGCCTTTCTGTCTCAAAGAACCCTGAAGAATCTCGTCTAAAACTCCTTTAAACCGAAGAGTCTTTCCATCATCAACCTAACCCTTAATAACCTCAAGTCTACTACCCACTCTATTCTGATTAATGGCTACCCTAGCAAATCCTTCCAGCCCAAAAGAGGTCTCAGACAAGGAGACCCCCTCTCTCCTCTTCTTTTCATCATAACAGTAGAGAGCTTCAGCAGAACCATCAAACACAAAACCTACCAGGGGACTCTAAGCCTATACAAAATGGGTAGACATTACATGCCAATCACCCATCTAGCTTTTGCTGATGACCTACTGATTTTCACCAATGGTGCTGCCAGTAACCTTGCCAAATTCTCTAACTTTCTGAAGGATTATGAAAGAGCTACTGGACAGAAAATAAACCTCCACAAAAGCTCTTTCTATACCCCTGACAAAACTCCAACAATTCATGCTATAAAAATGGGGAAAATTCTCAACATGCAAAGAGGTCAATTCCCCTTCAAATACCTGGGCACTCAAATTCACAGAGGTATAAATAGAAAGAACTACTGCAATGATCTGCTCAATCATTTCGACAAGAAATTACAGGGATGGACTAAGAAAATGTTATCCCAAAGTGGAAGGCTAGTTCTCATCAAACATGTTCTTAGTGCCATCCCCCTCCACACCCTTGGATCTACTAACCTACCCAAAAGTATCATCAACTGCTTGCAGTAGAAAATGAGTAATTTCCTTTGGGGATCCAAAGATGAGCACCTAAACTATCATTGGAGCTCTTGGAAAGACATCTGCAGACCCAAAGAAGAAGGGGGACTGAATATTACCCATATTGAAACCTTACAGATGGCTTATGGTCTCAAAATGTGGTGGAGTTATCTGAACAATAACTCTCTTTGGGCAGACTTCATGCATCACAGATACCCTCACAGCTTCAACAACCCCCCCAAACTTATTGACTCTCCAACCTGGAAGAGACTGCACCTCATTCATGACAAAGCTATCAACATCATCAACCTCAACAATGACAACCAACCATCCTGGGATGATGGTCAAACCGGCTTCAGCCTAAAGAGAGCTTACAATTCCTTGAGAGAAAAACACCCCACTCACACCTTTCTCAAACACTCATGGAACTCTAAACAGTATCCTAAGTGTAACGCCCCGAAACCTGGCCCAAAAGAATTAATTAAATTGTTAGAGCAATTGATTACGAATTGGGCCCAAATAGGGGTTAAAATAATAATTTGGATTTTAAGCCCAACTTTTATGTCATCTCGTAGGAAATATTTTTGTGATCGCGTCGGTTCAGACGGCTCGCGAATCGGAGTTACAGAGCTCAAGTTATGACCATTTAATCAGGTATTTTGGGTCCGAAGCCCAATCCTTTTTGGAATGGGACCATTAAATAAACCTATTATCTACCACACAAACCTTATCTCCTTCTTCGGTCCTTCTTCTCCTTCTTCGTTCGGTTTTTCTTCTTCTTCCTTCTTCTTCTCCTTCTTCTTCTTCCTTCTTCTTCTCCTTCTTCTTCTTTCTTCTTCGCCAGTAGCGTCGTCCCTCGATCGCCGCCTCTTCGCCGATCGACCTCCACTGCCAGCGCCGGTCGCTCGCCGCCGGAAGCCCGCCGCCATCATTGCCGTCCAATTAGAGCAGCCAGCCGCCGGCGTCGCCCTTCCCCAGCCTCGCCGCACCAACCAACAGCGACCTTACCGTCGCCGGAAGCCAGTCGCTGCCCAGCGCCGCCGCTGCTTCCTTCGCCACCTGCCGCCGCCTCATCACCGTCGAATTGCAGCGCCGCCGCTCCGAGCGCCGGACGTCGCCTCCACTGCTGGCGTCCTTCCTCACCGTCGAGCGCAGCGCCGCCACTCGCCGAGTCTCCAGCCGCCGTCGCCGAGCCTACAGCCGCCGTCGGTGAGCTTCCAGCTGTTGTTTCACCTTCGCCGGTCGTCCGCCGCCAGTCGCTGCCCAGCGCCACTGTCGCCAGCGTCCGTCACCGTCGCCGCATCCGGCCGCTGCCCCGAGTTGATATCGCCGGCAGATTAACCTCCACGCCGGATTGATTGGTCGATTTCGCATTTTGACTCGATTTGACCCGTTCATTTGATTTCGTCGATTTGCCTTCCGTTCGAGCTATCGATTCGATTTCGGCGTAATCCAGGTCCGTACTATGAAGTTAATAGCATTTAGAATAGATTTAATGGTTTGGATCGTTATATGTGTTTATGCTATATTTTGGCTAAATTGGTTAATTGAATTAAATTGATTGTTTGAATTGAATTGTTGAGGATTGTGAATTGACTGAACAGGTTTGACTTTGACTTGGGTTAGGTCATGTTTGACTTAGACTTTGACTGGAGATTATGTCGACGTAGGTTTGACCGAATGGTTAAATCTAAGACTTTAATGAATTAGTTAAGTTAATTAATTCTAATCGGTGATTAAGGTCAATTGGTTTATTGTGTTGAACATAGAAACTGGCCATCCCTCGGGCGGCTGCAGGGCCTGGTCAGTGAGGTTAAGACGTGCGCACGAGGGTCTGCGATCTTGGGTTTGAGGCCATCGCCCGAGGGATCCTACCTCCACCGAATTGAGGCCATCTTCGGTATTACGGATTGAGGCTATCTCCGTCATAGGCAATAAATGTTAAGTGGTTTGACTTTGGTGAAAGTCTAAATTGGTTTGACCGGTGGTCAAA